GGGACCCATACAATAATGTAAATATCGATTTGATTGAGAATGTTCAAAAGCAATTTTTGAGGAATTGTGCTTTTCAATTTGGTATTCAACGAAATGAATATGAGTACAGTCAATTCTTAACCAAGGTAGATATAAAATCATCGGAAGACAAGAGAATTTCTATGAATTTGAGTTTCCTCTTCAAAATAATAAATAGTGAGATAAACTGCCCAAAACTACTTCAACTAATAACTTTTCATATCAAACAAAAAGATAAAAGAAATCGTGACATTTTTTATATACATTTTTTCTGTAGCAATTATGCTTTGAACAGTCCGATTACTGTTTGTTGGTTTATTCGGCCCATAAGCTCAGTAGTGAAGTGAGGAAGAATTAAGTACGCCTTTCTTCAATCTGATAAATAAATGAATTAATAATGGAAAATATCCTAAATTTCAGACGGTGAAAGTTGCCTTTGAAAAAATAATTCTATGTTGGATGCTGTTGCTAAGTTAATGAGAATGGTAAATTATGGGATAATGTGAAAATCCATCCGTAACAATTTTGACCATGTTAAACGATACTTAAGAATTTTGAAATTTGAGAGGTGTTATACAATTTTCTACAAAGCTATAGTGAATTACCATTAATGGCATCCTAAGTAAAACTGACAAGACACCATTAGGAAGAATCATTTCTGAGCTGCATTCCTTGGGGGTCAGTTTGACTTTCCATTGGTTTGAGATGAAGAAATAAAGTTATCAAAAAATAAATTGATGGATGTAGCCGTTACTACGTGGCAGGAAATTATAATGAAGAAAAGAGAATCGAAACTTTCTATGTTTTTTACCACATTTATTTGTAACTAACGTTACTGCAGTTTCGTCATATAAGGACATTTTCAAACTTATACATTATACATTAATGTTTATTTTGAAAATTGAATGAGATATTATTGAAATTTTTTATTGGTTTGAAAGACCTATTGATGCCATTACGTGTGGAGTATAACATCGTTCGAATGTTCGCCACGGCTTCTCTGGGTGGAGCACATCCAAAACGTCCAGTTTTCCATGACTGGCGCGTAAATCAGGCTGAATTTGACTGATTGCATGACTTATGTTGGCTTTGAGGACATCTGTGGTTCGTGGTATTCGCTTACAGCTGCGACCTAAGAAAACCTTACAAGAAAAAGTCTAACGCGGTCAAATCGCACGACCTAGGTGACCAGCTCACATCACCTCCACCTGAGATGACTATATCCTCAAATCGCTCGTGTAGAATATCTAATGTGGCATGAGCTGTGTGGCACGTAGTGCCGACCTGTTGAAGTCACATGTCCTTGGTGTCCAGATCATCCAATTCAGGCTAAAAGATATTAGTGATCATTGACCTATAGTGCTCGCCGTTGACAGTGATGGCCTGGTTAACGTCGTTCTCAAAGAAATATGGACCGATGACGCCGCTAGCCTAAAAATCACACCAAACAGTCACTTTTTCGGAATGCATTGGACGCTCTTGGATCTCATGTGGATTGGTATCGTCCCAAATTCGACAATTTTGTTTGTTCACGTACCCATTCTTTCAGAAATGGGCATAATTGCTGAAGATGATTTTTCGATGAAAATTAGGGTCAGTTGCCAACTGCTCAAGGGTTCATTCAACAAGCACAAGTCGTTGTTTATGGTCGTTTACTTTCAGTTCCTGGATCAGTTGTGGTTTGCGAAAGGCCAAGTTCTTGTGAGCGACGCGAAATCGACTGCCTCGGATTCTCCTGCCCATTCTCAACAATTTTATTATTTGTACATGTTGTTGAATGTTATATTCATTCATGGTGATTTGGCAAAGCAGAATGAATAAATAACAACTAACTTAAATTCCGAGGAATGTTCCGGTATCTTCGTTTGCCAAAAAGCGTCATCCACTCGTCCATCGAGTTAGTCAGGTAGAAGTTACACTACAGTAGGCGAAGCGATCTAGTAAGGCAATAGACATTCGAATAATAGTTGAAGTTGGTTGAAGTGTTTGTTGTATTTAAAGTGAAATGAAGTTTAGTTTCATTATTGTTCAGTGCAGTCAATTATTGGTCAACGCACAGGGAAAAACGTAACATTTGGTGTTTTGTTTGAAGGTGGTTGACAATGTTTCGTGGTGTATTTCATCAGTTCGGACTTCCATTGTCTAATATATTATTTCACGAAAACCAGGCGGACTGCGATTCCAAGAATTGCATTTACCGGATACCCTGCGAGTGCGGAGAATCATAGATCGGTGAAACTAAGAGGCCATTGAAAGTTCGCATTGCTGAGCACAAGAAACACACACAGCGAGGAGAAACCAGCAAATCCTGAATAGCAGAGCATGTTTGGACTCATCAGCATAATATCAAGTAGGCTCAAGCTGAAATCATCCACAAAGAGGAACACTGGCTTAGGAGAAAATTCAAAGAAGCCGCGTATATGTTGTCCAACAACGCATTTAGTCAAGCTAGCGTAGAGATACGTAACATATGGAAACCTCTAATCAAATGAAAAACGACCAGTTATCACCCGAAGACGATTTTGGATCGTGATGAGGTAGTGGACAGAGACTCTTTCATGGACAGCTCTGATAGGAAGATAAGCTTCCCTACCTCCCGCCTATTCGGGTTATCTCTGACCCGGAGGGTAGCAACCCGTAAGGGTTCCTTGTCCAGGTATACGGACACACGGACACCTGGTTATTAATCACCTGACCATGGTGTGGTCAGGTGATTGATAACCTCTGAGGGTGACACTATGTTCCTGACGAGGCAAGAGAACATCGTAGCGCAGGAGGATCCGGTCTTGAATACTGTACGATAATGCATTGACAAAGGAGTGAGGGCGGAATGGCAAAAGATTTTCAAGTACGGCCAGCAGTTACTGGATCCAATGGCATGTGCATTCGAGATGACCTACTTACTCGGAAATGGGAAAGTCCGGATGGAAGAACCCACAAATTCCAAATAATCCTTCCAAAGACGTGTATCCCCTTCCTGGAGGGCATTTCGGAGTGAAAAGAATTCTAGCGAAAGTGCGTGAAAAGTACTATTGGGTCAACAACAAGGCAGGAGATAGCAACACTGTTTTACCTAATACTCATGGGGGCGGACTGAATCTAGCGAATGATTTTAATGTCCATTTTGTAAACTTTGCACCAGCTATCGAGAGTTTTCATAATAAGTAAACTCCTACCCCTAGCAAAACGAACCACAACTCGATATTTCTTTATCTAATGAGTGAAGAAGAAATAATCCAATCCAGCTATAAACTCAAAAATAAAATGAGCAGTGGTATAGACAATGTGCCATCAAAAATTCTAAAAAAGTGTTATAGCGAGAAGAGGACAGCCAATAATAATCTTTTGTGATAATTGAACAAATTTTGTTGCTGCTGCGAAAGAACTGAAAAATGCTCTTCAAAATATGAGCAATGTATTTGTTGTGGATGCAATGTCGTCTAGAAGAATTCAGTTCAGGTTCAATCCTTCAGGAGCCCCACATATGGGAGGAACATGGGAGAGGTTAATTGAATTTTTCAAAAGAATAATATCAAAGGATTTGTATAAACGTCTTCCAAAAGAGAAACTTTACGAACTTTTTTTTGCTGAAGCTGAGAATATACTCAATTCCAGGTTCCTTACCAGAGTATCAAGCGATCCATCTGATCTTGAAGCACTCACAGTTGATCATTTTTTTTGGGTCGTCAAGTGGAGATGGCTCCTGTATACGCCTCAGCTCAGACAACGATTGTCTACGAAGAGAATGGAGAAAAACGCAGATGTTGCTTGATAACTTTTGGAGCCGTTGGGTCAAGGAATGCCTAACCACACCATCAAACAGAAGAAAACTCAAAAAACTATCCAAGTTAATGATGTTATACTAGTTGATAAAACTCTACCCAGGTATGCATGGAAGTTGGGGCGCGTACCTGCAACTTACCCTGGTCCTGATAGCAGAGTACGTGTTGTAGATGTATAAACTTTAAATGCCGAATACAGGCGGCCAGTGACAAAAATTTGTTTATTGGATCTGGAGAAAAAATAGTTCCTCTAGCAGAGGGGAGGATGTTGAAACTTGTTATTCAGATTTTGTAATAATTCAATTTGTTGTTTGTTTTTATATTTCTTTGCTCACCATATAGTTGTTATAAAAATAGACTATCAGAAGTTATGTTGGAAAAGTCAATAACATTTTGTTAGACTGAAATATAGTTTTATTGGCGATTCCTGAAAGGAAAAATAACAAGAGTTTCAACAGATGGTATAATAAATACAGAAGAACCAATAAACGACGATATTAAGGGTAAAAATCGAATAGAGGAAAAAAAAACCCTGCAATACCTACAGCAAAAACTGTCGACACCACAACTTCTAAATCCACCTACAACAAGAATCCAGTAAAAATTGGAAGAACTATTCGAAACAATTCATCGTCTGGCTGCAAATAAGATTAGTGTCAATGTAGACCAACAACTATAGTAAATACATATTTACACATTTGTAAATATATATCTACAAAATTTTATTATATATCAACGTACATTTTATCATTAATATATTTTGTTATTCTATTGTTCATAATAAGCATTAAGTACATTGAATATATCAATTTAGGATCCATATATTGACAATTTCAAACTGGCAAAGATTGAAACTGAAACAGCACAAAATGCAATTGAGTATAACTAGGACACTAGTAAAAAATCAACACATACAAAATCTTAGGATACCTACTCCATACAAACATCCGTAGTGTCGTTAAAAATATGAATGAACTAAAAGTGACACTGCATGAATATGAAGATGAGTTCGATGTCATAATTCTCAGTGAACATGGAACATCTCTGACTTTTTGTCATTAGACTTGGTGGGTTACAATTTAATATGCAACAAAGGCATAGTGAATCAAAATGATGGAGTACCGTTATACATAAAAAATCACCTCGAGTATTCCTATGCAGTGATTCTCTTGAAGAAATAAAAGTTATCGAACTGAAATTAAAATATAATGATTGTAATATTGTCATAACTGGCATATATATGTCACATTCTACGTGTCCACTGAATTTCAACCGTAATATCGCCAAGTACCTGGAAACAAGAAAAAATTATAAATCTGATTTTAAAATAATAATAGGAGATATACACATCGACATTTTGAATACTTGTGATATAAGCGAGGAATATATTAATATTCTAAGTGAATGGGGCTGCATCTCAGCAATTAACACTTACAGTTGAATCGTAGGCAAAGCACGGTCTTGTCTGGACCACATATTTGTGAAGACTGACTCTCCACATGATTGGCTCAGTCCATTCGTGATCAAGTCATGCATCAGTGACCACTTTCTAGTAATCATGCGAATTAAATGTCTAGCTGAAAGAGGAAAGGAACAGAAAATTCGCAAAGAAACGTATAAACTGTACATCCACAAAACAAAACTACGAGACGGATTAAAAAATGAAACTTGGAATAACATATACTCACAAAAGACGTAAATATCATGACAAACAATTTCATCCATAATCTGAAACAAAAACTTGAACTGGCCACGCGTAAAATAATAATAAAAAGAAGGAACATTGAAAGGAAAGAATGGATGAACAATCCAAACGAACTATGGGAGAGCTTATAACAAACTCAAAATGAACTGAAATCTATCTCAACCGAAGACGGTATTGATTTAATAGACAAAAAGGAAATCGCAGATTACTTTGCTGACCACTATGATACAGTCGACAAAAAACTCACAGAAAAAATTGCTTCGCCTTCGCCAATGAATAAACCAACAACATGGCAACATTGGAAACGCCGAGAGGGCTTTTGCACCTTTCTTGCTGACAGATGTCAATCATTATTTCGTCCGTAGTTTTTAATGTTCTTGGTTTTACCGATGTTTATACATGTGATCATTGTGTGATTAATAAAACATAGTTCAATATTTTTTTAGGTTTATATTGAAACCTTGTTGCAACCCGATACCGACATAACACCAACAAATACCTAACTCGATCTTCATAGAACCTGCAACTGATAAGGGGATTGAAAAAACTATTCGATCAGTCAAAGTAGGTAAAGCTCCTCGACTTGATAACATAAAATCTGAGACATTGATAGATCACTCAGATCTTATTTCATCTCCTTTAACACATATAATAAACAAATCTATAGATTTTGGCTTATTCCCAAGTATTCTCAAAAATGCATCAATAAAACCTATATATAAAGCTGGAAACAAGAAACAAGCAATACATTATTGCCCAATTTCCTTAATAAGCAATGTTGGGAAAGTGAAAAGTTCCTGAAAGTGAGATTTGACAGCTTCTTCAATAAATATAACATCATATCCGACAAACAACTGAAGTTGATTTGGACTCTTTGAAATCAACTAATTGGGAAAATCTATAATTCCATGGACAAAAGTAATCCATGTCTATGCATCTTCAATCGACTTGGTCAGCCATCAGAAACTCCTTCAAACACTTGAAACCATGGGTTTCCGAGGAACACCACTCAACTTGATGGAGAGCTACCTTAGTGAAAGAAAGCAAGTGGTTAATGTAGATGCCATGATAAGCTGAAAAAAAACTTTAAAATACGGCGTACCACAAGGTACTGTATTGGGCCCTATTCTATTTAATCTATACATCAACGACTTATTCAAACCAACAACACATCAGCTTGGTTGATGATAAATGTGATAAATTTGTTTCAAACTCGACTAGTCAACATCAATTTCCAAAAAACCTTTTTTCTTCCTTTCACATGCTACAGCGATAATCTCTCAACATATAGGCAACTTGAATTCAACAATGGCCTCACAAAGATCCTTTAAGCATGGACAACATTTTTAAAGTCTACAGAGAAATATTTGACTTGAAATACATGTCAATTCTATATGATACGCTGATTCACACACATATAACATACTGTATAAAGGTTTGGGGTGGTGTCGCAGACACCTACTTGAAACCATTAGAGGAATCACAAAAATGGATCTTGAAGATTATACTCCGCAAAAACTATAGATATCCAACGGAAACATTATTCACAGAAGCAAAAGCTCTGGACGCCTGTCAACTTTACCAGCAATTACAAGTCAGTTTTTTATTTATTCATCATTTGCCAGTACCCTGTATGACTTATATATTTTCATATATATAAACTGATTTTATGTATTAAGTAAAAATTAATCAATTTAAATGCACTTTGTTTTTATATAAAAACTGTATTATAGATTGAGTGAAACTTTGTCCAGAAGATTACTCTTATGAGTAATCCACCACCATAAAAACAAACACAAATACGAGCCTATACAGCAAAAACATGAAACACGCTTCAAAGCCAAAACAACAACCATTCCAAGAATTAACACACGAAAATGTCAAAGTTCGTTTACTTATCTCTGTCCAGTCTTATATGCTGATATACCGCAGATCATCTTCGCAGAATACGATCATTCGACTTGCTACCGATCAATTGATGGGAAAAACTTGAAGTGAGATACACTTCTTTATATGCAAACTTGTATCTGTATCGTAAATGTATCGTAAATATACTTTCTCGTTTGTAATATCTATGTTATGTTTTTTTGTTAGCTATATCTATCTTCTTGTAATATCTATGTATACATTGTATATTCTATAAACTATAATTCTATAAATTACTCCAGAACTAAAATACTTTCGCCCATGCTTCGCTTCGTATTTATTTACCACCATTTATTGTTAGCAATAGTTATATTTAAACTCTACTTGTATATTTGGCGAATAAATTGTATTGTATTATTGTATTTTCTTACGTTTTTCTACTAATATCCGATTATATTAATATTGTTCAAGAAATATTAGATGGGCCTATTTTTATTTTATGCAAATCTACATCCCGAGCAACTTCGATTGATACTTTCGAAATTACATGTTTTTTCATTAACATGGTATCATTGTGGTGGAAAGTTGTCATCGAAAACAATAACTTTTTTCCCTTCATCTGTCTGCATACCGCAAATTTATTTTTACATAAATTTGCTTGAAAAAGATATATTTTCAGGAGTTATTAGTAGTTATAGTCAGAGCTGTAGAGCATGTGGAAAATCCATGCCTAGTAACTATAAAGAAGGCATGTTACCATATGATGTGCCACACTAGAGTTTAATGCAAAATCATATATGTAACTGTTGACTATTTTTCACATTGGCTAGATAAATCTTCAATGTCGGATAAAACATCAGATTCAGTTATGGATGTGATTCAAAATATATTTATAGAATTTGGATATATTTAACAGATAATTTCAGATAACTCACAATACAATAATAGCCCAATTATAAATTTAAATGCGCCCCCCTTTTAAATCTTTTGAGAACACAACTACCGGTTACAGAAAGTGAATTACAATCCAAAATCCAAACTAACATTTATAAAAAGTTGTATGATCAAACAATAAAAATTAAATCCATGATAAACGAACTCGAAGAGGACCTATCAAACTATAAAAGTGTGGATAATGTAGTAATAAAAACTTCTGACGATGAAGTTTGGTGTGAAGCTATAGTTATTTGTAGATTTATATGTACACATATTTGATACTTTTACAATTTTTCTTTTGACGTATTTCTCAGACAAAAATATTTTGCCACTCCTGTGAATTATTTTAAAATACTCTGTTGATATAAATGTATCTATCTATCACCAAAAAAGTAAATGAACCAAGATCTTCTTGAGTGAGAAAGGAAAATGATAATCAAATCGTTAGTCAAAATACAAGACAAATAATGTTTTCGTTCACCAGATCTGATCCGCACGATTCTGAACTGACACCTAAGCTATTCCCAATGACAATTTTTCTAGATAATGAAGCTAGGGATGATACCAGTATGAGTTATGTACATGATGCAACAAGTGACAATACTAGAGATGAAGTAAACTGAGAGCTTTCAGACGTAAATGTAGATAAATATATCAGAAAATGTATATACGAGTATATCTAGTTATGGAAGCTCCATTAAACATTTACAACGTCTTGATCTCTTAGGGGAACGTGTTCGATATAATGTGAATCAGCCCTAATGTAGATGTCAGATATATCGATGGATGCAGACTTCTTTTCGTAGAAGTAAAAAAAGATGTATATCTGTGTATTCATATACCCATCTATTAATGAATGGCTAAGCATGCTTTTCAACTATTAAATATGATTCATAAGTGTCTTAGCTAATCTAACATCTCTCACGTTGAACAGTGCGTTCTTGGTTGAGTGGAAGAGTAAAAACTTGTTCTTTGAACAAAATTATTGAATTCTGCTTTTGATTTGATTAGTGTGCTCATTTATATTCATTTATTTTAATTTATCTTTGTATTTTTTTTATCTATCATTGCAATAAAAACATTAGTATTATCATATTATTTTTCATGACGTACTTTTTCCAAACAAACCATTTCTGTATATTTCATACAATTACAATTACGGTCAATATTTATTCAGAACTAACAACTAACATCATTAGGCTTGATGGAAAATTTTGTCATTTGTTTGTTCAAAATTTTTTTAAATTCATAAACCATCTATTTCTTTTCAGTGTACTCGCCACAGACGCTTGTGGCTTGTTATACCGCCTATAGGTTGTTATACTCTTCTTGAATGTTGTTTCGAGAATTTAAGTTTGTTTTGGAATTTTACAATGCAATTTATTCTTTACATTTCATTCCTGTCGAATGAATCTTTATATTTTCAAAGATATTTTAATACTTGTATAAAGTTATAGAATACACCGTTTAGGAATGATTCAAGAGAAATTTTATTTCATAGCATGTCCATAAATGTTTAATTTTATGATGATAAAATATAATATTTGTTCATTAAAGAAAAAAGTAATACAAATCATGAAATTATAGAACAACAAAATTAATTGGCGCTCTGGGGCGACGTCATTGATTTAAGTGGTGTATTTGCTTTTTTAGCTTTAGGAAAACCCGGAAAAACCTCCAGCACTACATTATCTATCCGATTGCCAATGTCCTCTTTTTCATAAAACAAAATGTAGGGTGTCTCCAGAGGTTTCAATAAATTCAATAATGTCACTTCGTGACACGACTATCGTCAAACTTAAATCAGTCCGTTTGGTCTTTGACCAATACGTAATAATGACCTGATTCAACGCCAGGACCACAATGAACAATGACTGCATGAAGATTATAATAGTGGCCTGCTAGATTGAAGTGTTCATCTATTTCGAACTTTCGTAAGAGTTTGGTGCATCCGTCAGAGGTTGAGTCATGTTTGAAGATCACCAGTGTCATTATTAGATTGACTGGTGCCTCAGATATACTTGTTTTCTTCTAATCGTCAGTTAGTTTGGCGCATGTTTGGCAATACAGTTGATCATCACCCGTTGTTCTATTTTCAGATGATTCAACAATAAGCTTTGCACGGACTGGTTATCAGTCATATTAGGAAACGCTAGTTGAAGTTCCAGAAAATCATATACGTTTTTGCTACCTCTTGAACATTTACTACGAAGTAAACAAGTGAGGATTTTTCCAGCAGAAGATCTACAAATAGAAGACGAGCTAGACTGT